GGCCCAATGCTGACAAGGATTGTGAGCTGCTCACCTAATCAAGGTGCCCAGAACGGGCACCTGTCCCTGCCCAACAGCAGGCTCTGGTGTGGAGCTGCCTAACTCCTCAGTCTCCCCCTCCCGTGAACCTTCACGGGACACGGGCGTGCAGGGGAACAACACATTCTTAGCCACTGCCTTCCTGACCCAGCTGCTCCTCCAAAAACTCGCAGAGCCTGAGCAGCCCCACACACCTAAAATATTATTTGGTTGCTGCCAACAAGACATGAAAATGGAGAGCCGGGGATCCCAAACAAGGGCAACATGCAGGCCTCTTTCTTCCCTGGACATGTGGCAGGAGCCCTGCACAAGTGGTCCCGGATAGGGGTCTAAAAGGTAAAACAATGTGCACACATTGCTTGTGAGACAGTCAGAACCTCGCCAAGTGTAGTAGTGCACTCCTGTAACCCTAGCCTCCTGAGCATCGGAAGGCAGGAGGATTGCAAGTTCAAGCCCCACCTGGACAAATTAACAATGTAGCAAGAGCTTGTCTCAAATAAAAATGTAGAAAACAAGCCAGGCGTTGTGGCTCACACCTGTAATCCCAGCACTTGGGAGGCTGAGGCAGGAAGATCCTTGTGAGTTTGAAACGAACTGGGCTACAAAGTGAGCTCAAGGCCAGCCTGAACTGTATAGCAAGACCCTGTGTCAAATAGACAGAAACAAAACAAAACAAAAAATGTAGAAAACAGGCTGGAGATTAGCTCCTTACAAAGGTCCTAGTGTCCATCACCAGCACCACAAGAACATATACCAAAAAAGTCAGAAGTTTTTTGGATTTGCACTTATTTTCTGTTGTAGTGTTCAAGCACTGCAGTGGAGGCTGGACAACTCTCTTCAGGCCTCAGAGCCTCCTTCCAGCTCTGCCAAAGGGACGCTTGTCATCCTGGACTGACGCACTCCACCCCAGCCTCCAGTTCCATAGGAGTGGAAACTGCCATTAAAACACCTGGGCTGGGAAACAAGGCTGTAAACACAAGGCCCATGGGCTCTCTTTAGCCAAAAGACACAGAAATGCATTTTGCTTGGTTTTCATAATGAGTTAAAATTTGAAAAGATTTACATTAAAATCTATTTTTTTGGTCAACAAATGTTTAACTCTGTACTACTGATAAACAATATATCTGTGACTAATATTTCATTCATGTTGTGAAATTCTGGGTATTACATGACAATTTACACCCATATTTAAATATTATTTACATCTTTAGTATTTCTTCCCAAAAGGAGATCTCACATGACTTTTTCCTTTTGTACCTCGGTGTCCATTCTTGTATTTGTAAGGTCTTCCATTAGTGCACGTTATTATGTGACTTTGAATGGATAGGAGAGAAATAAAATATTCCCCCATTCCATATATTCATGGATTTTTCTCCAGAATGAGTTTTTCATGTCAGTTAACAGAAGTGAAACAACTAGATTCCTTAACACATTGCTCAAATCCACAGAGCTTTTCTCCAATGTGAGTCCTTCCTTGTGGGTCTGTTTTTCTCAAGAGGCCTGGGGGTGTAGTTCATGGTGGAGCACTTGCCAAGCATGTGCAAGGCCCCAAGTTCCATGATCCCCCGCACAGAAAGAAAAAAAAACCAAATACGAAACATGAAAGTCACTGCCGAATCAGTGTCCATGGCCGGGAAGGGCAGCACACCCACTGTGCTGCTGGGGATTCAGTTGCTCCCTTTGGACTCAAATGAGCTTCACTCTTCTGTGAGGCCTGCCTCGTTCAGGTGCCAAGGTATTTAGTTTGAGATCCTTGAAGGCTTTAATCCCCACTGAACTGCAGAGTTTGGAGCAGAGGAAGCTCACCAAGGATTTGATGACTATTTTCACTTCACTGTGAATGAAGGTCCACAGCACAGAGCTCCACCTCTGTGAGTGTAGATGTTGCTGACCACCATAGGACAGAAGAAGACTGAGTTGAGGTTGCAAGCAGGATACACATGTGGACCCAAGAGCGGGCCATTCATCAGGAATATGCCTGTCCTGCTTGCCCTCGAGAATGGCCATGGCTCCTTTCTCCCAGCTTGGCAGTACTGAGTGACTTGTAGCCTGAGATCATTTTGCAGGATTCAATTTAGGTTTCACACTAACTGGCACAGGCCACCTCACCCCTAATGTTAAGCAGAGTAGAGGTCACTAGACCACCTGGCTGAATTTACAGAAAATCTCCATGCTGCCTGCCACAGGACATTTCAGGCATACTGTGCATTTCCTGGTCAGGAAGAGGGGGTGGGGTACCTGCAGCCCTGAGGGGCTCCAACAATGATCCTTTACCTCTAGGAGTGCCCTCCCAATGAAGCCCAGAGGGTCTCTGGCCACCCTGTCCTTCCCTATGGCTATGTCCAGGGGTAAAATACAAAACTGCTTTGAAGTGAAACTTATAATTCTTTTACTTCCTGCACTAAAGCAAAGCAAAACAAAACAACAAAACAAAGCACTAGATGTGTGGTTTAGGGGGTAAAGAGTCGGCTTAGCATGCATGAAGTTCCCTGCTTCAATGCAGAAAGGAAATCCAATTACCAAAGTGTCCACAATACACCAAAACCCAGATCCTAGTGGTGTTGTCTTCTTTTTTGTATATCACACACCAAAAAAGCCAATCTGTTTTTCACCCAATTTGTAATGTTTATTGTCTAGCTCACGTGCAGAGAAAACCTGCTGGATCGTATTATTCAAAACCCTCTCCTAGGTTTGCAGGAAAACAAAAGGTTGGTCCTCGGAAATCTACACTTCAGTGAGGCTGACACCTCCTAGATTTTTCCAGAGGCCTGTGACAAATCAAACTGGGGCCTGCCTCTTCCCACTAGGTGTCGCACTAAACAATGGGGAACACAGACCACCAGGTCCTTCAGTTGTTCTGTCATAAAGTCATCAAAGGAGCTGCAGAGAAACCTATTTCTGAATTTTCATAACTGCAGCCCCAAATCCTTTTCTGATGTGCCCTTATAGGTGGGCTTTCAGAGTTTAATATTGTTGTGCATTTTTCAAAAAAGCAAGTATCTCCAGATAGGGAAACACCTATTCTCTACTATACCTAACAGTTGAAATGGAAGATACCTTATCTAACAGTTGGAATAGAAGATACTTTTGAGCATATTCCAAGCCATGGTTTCATTTTCACAATATATTTCCCAGTGTTAATACTACAACTTCATTGGCCAAATGATTACTCTATTAGGATAGGAATAAGGAAAACTGCTATGGGATGTCTGGGTAATGTTTTATGGATCTCAGTTTCTTTTTAGGAAAGTGGGAACAATACTTAGTTTTCAGGATTAGTTATGAAAACTAATAATATGATGCATAAAGCATCAGAGTTCTTTCAAAAATTTATATCGTGATCTTTGCAGGAGTCATGGTCATCCTTTTAAAGAGTTAGACATGTACTTGTGAACAGGTTCTAATACAAGTTTTAAAGTCACTAAAGAACTAAAATGTCAGTCTCAGTATAAAAGCAAGTGTACTACAAAAAGTTAACTGGCCAATGGAATAACATGCAGTTAACTAGAGGTAACACCTGGAATCTGATCTATTGATCCTCACCTTTTCCCCTTGCCTCACTAACTATATTTGCCTATCAGAAACCTTAGAGCCAATGGAGCCAATCTCTGGGAAGTTTTCATTTCTTCTTCTCACAGGTTCGTATCCATGCTATAGATTCAGTTTCTCCACACTGAAACAGTTGGAGATGCAATGGAAAGATGGAGAAAGGAGAAGCACTGGTTAATCCGCCAGTTAGGAAAAGATGGCTGCAGTGATGACCAGTAATCCCTGCATGACTACAAAGTCCTCCTGGAGTTCATTTTGAAGAACTAGGACCAATATGATTTATTTTGCCTGGACCAGTTCTAGAAGTGGTTGAAGCATTCAGTCCTTGCCTCGCAGGCCAGGAGGTGCTATAGGGAGCATGTGCTCTATTTTTGCAGGGGAAACCAGAGGGTGGATGGTCAGTGCAAGCTCCTTTCTCTCAGGAGTGGCTCCCCACAGTGAGAGGCTAGGTTCAAAGGCTGGCCTGGGGTTGGGAGAAGTAAGAGTCAGCAGAGGCAGGTGAGCACACTGTCTGTGCGCCTCCACAGGGCTGCCTAAGCCTTCTGCAGGATGCCTAGTAGGCAAGCCATTAACCCAGTTGTTCAGCTGGGCACCCAGAAGTAAGCTCAGGGGCCATCCTTTGCAGCAGCACAACGTAGTTATTTCAATATTGTGAGGTACCCTGAACCTCTACTACAAAGATCAACAAACACCGTGGTTTACTTGGAAAAAAAATAAATCATGGTCCCTATTTAGTACTTTCCCTCATACAGAGCCAGTTATCCCCTCTTGCAGTCAACAGGATCATTAATCCCTAAGAAATGACTTGGTTTTTAACGCCAAACCTTTCACAATTTACGGTGTGTGGGAGAGGGCATCTAAATGTCCTGCAATGCAAAGAACAGGTATTGGTAAACACAGACGGCTTATGAACCACTCTGCACGGAGAAATTTGGTGGAAGCAAATCCCTACATCTAGCCATCATTTCCACTCTTGAGTTTTCAAAATATCAGAAAAACGGAAAGGACCGGCAAGTTGACAAACCCCAAACAGGAACCACTGTCTGCGTCCTTGGGATCTCAGCAGTTGACGACCCCAAATCATATCAATCATGGGAAACCCCAGGGAAAGAAGTTTTCTTGCAGGGACTCAAGATTACTGAGGGCAGGCTGCAGGGAAGTACCTGGGAGGAGGGGGGCCTCATTGAGAGGACTTTCCAGCCACTCAGCGCTCATCAAAAAGTTCTCTGACAATGACCCCAGTGGCTCATCGCAGGGAGTTTCTCTGATGAACCCAGCTCAAGGTTTAGGTACATAGCAGAGGACTAGTCCAGTTCTCTTTTCTGGTCTGACTGGCTTGGAAATTCCCCGCATCTGACCCCGCCCCGGAGAAATCCCCTGCCAGGGTTTATAGGGCGCCGCGGCGGCGCTGCCGAGCCCACAACAGCCCGAGCTCGCCGTGCTGCCCGCTAGCGACACACACAGCCAGGAGGCCAGCGACACCACTGCGAGGAAGTCGGCGACGCACACAGCGAGGCCGGCGACGCACACCCGAGGACCACAGCGCTCAGCCTGCGGCCGAGCGCACCCGGAGCGCACGCCATGTTCCAGCCGGCCGAGCGCGTCCAGGAGTGGGCCATGGAGGGGCCCCGGGACGTGCTCAAGAAGGAGCGCCTGCTGGACGACCGCCACGACAGCGGCCTGGACTCCATGAAGGACGAGGAGTACGAGCAGATGATGAAGGAGCTGCAGGAGATCCGCCTGGAGCCGCATGAGGTGCTGCGAGGCGCGGAGCCCTGGAAGCAGCAGCTGACGGAGGACGGAGACTCGTAAGTGCGCGGGCCGGGCGGCCGGGTGGCGGGCGCGGGGCCTGCGGGGATGGCGGAGGTCTGCAAGCCCGGAGCCTGCGCGCGGCTGCAGGGCTGCTCGGGCCGTGATGCTGGGGAGGGGTCGCGCGGAGCCCCCGTGCAGGCCGGGGCGCCACACCCCCCTCTTCTCCTCCCTCCCCTCCCCCCAGCGATTCGACTCGCGGGGGGCGGGGACGCGGAGTCCAGGGTTGCATAAGGCGGGCGGGAGTTTCTGGGCCCCGGCGGGCGCCGCGAGGCCGGGAGGGGAAGTACAGGGCGTTCCGACCCGGGGAGGGGGAGGGGGGCCAGGCCGGCGCCGTCGCGCAGGGGGTGGGGCCCGGAAAGTCCCTGGGCGCCTGCCAGGAACACTCAGCTCATAATAACCGCGCGGAAAACACCGCGGCCTCGGCCTCCAGAAACCCCGGCCTTGCGCAATCCCGGCAGCCCGGGCCCCACGCAGCGCGCTCACCACCCCGGGGGGTTTCCCTCTTCGCCCTCAGGTTCCTGCACTTGGCCATCATCCATGAAGAGAAGGTGCTGACCATGGAAGTGATCCGCCAGGTGAAGGGAGACCTGGCCTTCCTCAACTTCCAGAACAACCTGCAGCAGGTGCGCCACTCACCCAGCCCTGTGCCCCCTCTGACCCTGACCCCCAAGAGGAACTGGGTATAGCACAGTCCCTCAGATCCTTCTGAATTGTCAGTCACCATTTGTCATCAGCCCTGGCCTTTCACACACAAATCAGGCAACCTCCTAGTGAGTAAAAGAACTCATTCATTTGGTGAGGTCTTTATGACCCAACAGGGGTCCCTGGAATTGCCTGGCCCCTTGTACCTGTCTGGCAGGAGCAGTGTCCACCAGCAGATGTCAGGAGCTTGGGGAACTCAGATTGTGGGTTTGCTCTGTGGCTTATCCTCTTCCTGTTCCTCTTCCGTCTGCAGACTCCACTGCACTTGGCTGTGATCACCAAGCAGCCTGAAATTACTCAGGCACTTCTGGAAGCTGGCTGTGATCCTGAGCTCCGGGACTTTCGAGGAAACACCCCCCTACACCTTGCCTGTGAGCAGGGCTGCCTGGCCAGTGTCGCGGTGCTGACGCAGACCTGCACCACACAACACCTCCACTCCATCCTGCAGGCCACTAACTACAATGGTACGTCCTGCCTGCCCCACCAGAGGATGGGGATGTGGTGGACAAGGGTGGTGGATCCACCTAGGGCAAGAATTTAAGCTCCCAACATGAGACAGATTTTATATAGTTCATTCAGAATAAGAATACTGAGTTCTAAAAACTCAGAAGACATGTCCCATACAAGGGTAGGAGAAAGGTTCTATATTGGGTGAGGTTTGAAGGAGTAGCTAAAAATTTCTGCCTTTTGCTCTTCTAGGCCACACGTGTCTGCACTTAGCTTCTATCCATGGCTACCTGGCCATCGTGGAGCGCTTGGTGTCCTTGGGTGCTGATGTCAATGCCCAGGTGAGCATGTCATGCTGCCGGATGGAGGGGTAGGCTCCTCTGTACTCCCCATGCTCTGGTTGCAAGCAGCAGTTCCAAACTCAGCCCTAAGCATCTTAATCTCTTTCGGTCTCAGGAGCCCTGCAATGGCCGGACGGCACTCCACCTCGCGGTGGACCTTCAGAATCCTGATCTCGTGTCACTCTTGTTGAAGTGTGGGGCTGATGTCAACAGAGTCACCTACCAAGGTTACTCCCCATATCAGCTCACCTGGGGCCGGCCAAGCACCCAGATACAGCAGCAGCTGGGTCAGCTGACCCTCGAAAACCTTCAGATGCTGCCAGAGAGCGAGGATGAGGAGAGCTATGACACAGAGTCAGAGTTCACAGAGGATGAGGTGAGTCTCCTTTAACATCTTCAGCACTCTGCCAAAAATTAGGAGAGGGCCATTCCTCCTCTCTCCTCCAGGGAGCCTAGAGCTATTGGTCATAAGGCTTTCTTATTCCCCAGACCTCAATGTGCATAACCAGTATCCCAAGATTGTGTCTCTTTTTCTGGTTTTAATAGCTTACATTTTGGGGAGGACTAGGAGGTGAACCCAGACTTTCACACATTGTAGGCATGTGCTTCCCACTGAACTGCACCCCCAGAATGGCTTAACTACTTTCTTTTTTTAATGACTTTTTGAGGATCTCACTATGTAGTCTAGGCCAACCTTGAACACACTAAAGAATCCAGGCTGGGCTTGGACTCTGGCAATCCACTTGCCTCAGCCTCTGGAGTGTGCATACCTCCACGTCTGGCCAATTTAGTGTTTTAAAAGTGGAGGAGTATTAAAGGAAAACTCCCCCCACCTGTAAGGTGCATTATATTTTGGTTATGGAGAAAGGAGTCCAGAAATATTTGAGTGATTGCCAGTAGCAGCCCTCTGGCAGCCCAAATTCCTCGGCAGAGTTCCACAAGTTTAACATGTCTGTTTCTTTCTTTCTGTTTTTAGCTGCCATATGATGACTGTGTGTTTGGAGGTCAGCGTCTGACATTATGAGTGGAAGGCATCAAGAAGGACATGGACTTGTATATTTGTACAAAAAGAGAGTTTTATTTTTCTAAAAAAAGAAAAAGAAAAAAAAGTTTGAAGGGTATTCTCACCATCACACTGCACGCTGCCTGGGCCCAGATGGAGTACAGCAGATCGGCCCTTTCATGAGTTTGGCTTGGGGGAACGAGGAAGGTCTTTGGAATGCGAAGCCAGCCTTCTGTGTAACTTTGCCTTGGTGGGGTTTGAGGAGAATCTGATAAAAGGGCCGCATTTATTTATTGTGCTTTTGATTGAATCACCGTGGAATATAGTGGCCGAAGCTGGTTCTGTCCCTGATGGGTAACAGCTAGGTGGGCAGTGGTGTAGTGTTAGAAGTCACCACCTGTCATGGTTTGTGTTGCCCTCCTGTAAATGGTGTAGATAGTGTATTTTGCTGGTAATTATTTTGGTACTTCTGAGATGTATATTTATTAAACAGACTTTTACAAACAGAATTGTGGTGATCACTGTCTTGGGGCTGTCAGGGCACCCCATTGTGAAAGTGCAGGGTGCCCAGGTGGGTGGAGGGGGCGTGGAGTGTTTTCAGAGGAGAGTTTCTCACCGGCAGCCCTGGGCCTGTGTGGGAGGGAGGCTGCTGAAAGCACGGGTAGAAAGTGCCAGTCAGCGCAGGGCAGCAGCACCCTGCTCGGGCTCCGGCTGCAGGTTCTCTGTGGTGGTTCTGTTTCCCCTTGGTTTAGGCTATCTCCAGACCCTACTTTCATGCTAGGAAATTACGTTAGACAACAGGATGGCCTTTGTTTGTTTTGTAGTACTGGGAATTTCACATTGAGCTACACCCCCAGCCCTATTTTTTATTTTGGAATAGGATCTCACTAAATTGTCCACCAGGCTTGAACTTGTGGTCCTCTGTCTCAGGCTCCTAGAGGGCTAGGCTTACAGACATGCACCACCATGCCAGCTTCTGAATTCATATTTTATAGCGATGAGAAAGATTTCACCTGTAAGAGTAGAATTTCCGAAGGACATGCCATCAAAAATTGAACAGCCCTGTCATCTCAACAAATGCTCTGCCTTTGAGGCTTAGTTTTCTCATTTAAAAACTGGGCCGCTGTGAGCATTGCACAAGACAATGGATGTAAAAACCAGCAGAGTACAAGGCATGTAGTTCTAAAGAAAAATACAAGCTGTGGCCCAACATCTTGTATTTCACAGTGGAAAAACATGTAGAGGGAATGGACTGTCCAAGGTGACCTTGCAGAAGGCGGGTGGGTGGTTTATTTACGGTTTCCAGGCAGTAAAACACTCAAATGCATTGACTCTACCTATGTTGCTCTTGGTTACAGCATAAAAAGGACAGTAAAAGCTTGAAGAATCTTCTTTAGCTTCATCTACTAATTCTGAATGATCCTATAGATTTCACAGTAAATCAGTAACTTGTAAAAGGTAGGTTTAGATACTCTGTGGTTAGTGCTTTTATCCCTGGTGCGTATTTTTTGCCTAGATAAAAAAGAATGAAGATTTAAAACATTCTCTAAAATCCAAAAGGGTAGTCAAGTGTGTTGGTACACACCTGTAATCCCAGCACTCTGGGAGGCTGTGGCAGGTGGATCATAAGTTTGAACTCAGCCAGGGCCACTTTGCAACTTAATGAGATCTTATCTTAAAATTAAACAATAAAAGAGAAACAGGATATGGCTCAGTGCGAAGGCCCTTGGTTCAAAAACAAAACAACAGAAATGTGCATAAATATAATTTGTGTACATTAGTTTATATCTAAGACAGTACTATTATATTAACCTTTTCCTGACATACAAGTGAGGTCAAAATCAAATAAATATGATCACCTTCCTTATAGGGCCAAAAGGACCCAGTAGGAGCTGGTGGATCCTTTACAGAAAGGACATTGCCACAGAGCCAGTTGCAGCCAGCTAGGTCCCCTTCCTGCAGCCTCAGTCCATCTGCCAAGCACTGTGGGGCCACTTCCCACGTGATTTGTTTGTGGCATAATGTCCCAGCTCACACTGAACGTCCTTGTCCACCCCAGAGCCCCTGAACATAGGTGCAAATGTGAATGTTAGTTTGGGTTCAGCTCAGACCGGATGCAGTGGGGGATGGGAGATAGCTACTCTCTGGTACCCAAAAGAACAAAGTTTGGAAACTTGGCCGTCCAGTTTTGGAATAACGCCCTCAGCACTTCCTACTCAGTCAGAAATGACCCGTCTGTCCCCTGCAATGGCACTGAATATGTGCTGATTCACCCAGATGTGTCCACTCCAGTTCTGTGCTGGAAAGTGGCAGAAGCAAGACAAAGGAATGGGGCCTCCCCACCTCAGGGTCCCTGAAGACCTCCCTGTCTCCTCCTCCTCAGCCAGGTCTTCACTGTAGTCCAGGCTGGCCTCAAACTCTCTGAGTAGCCCAAATTAGCCTCAAACTCTTCATCCTCCTATGTCAGCCTTCCCTGTGCTGGGGTTACAGGTCTATACGGAGGTTCCCAGAGAGACCAGCCCTCCACTGGGGTCACAGCAGGGAGGGGCCTCTTCTGAGTCTTGAATGCCCACTGCTCTATCTAGGCCTCAGCTTTTCTCTCCAAGATCCCAACTTCCAAGCTGGGTTTTATCATCTGCAAAAATCCCAAAGTAGCTGGGCATAGTTAAGGATTAAGTCAGCCCTGGCTCCATACTTCTATCCTGTGTTCCTTTCCTCCCTCCTTTCTCTTTCTTTTCTTTCCTCCATACTGAGGATTGAACTCAGCTTCATCCCTGGCCCTTTTTTATATGTTTTCTTTTTCTTTTTTTATGGGTACTGGGGATCGAACTCAGGACTGCGTGTTTGCAGGGCAGGCTCTTACACCGCTGAGCTAAATCCCCAGCCCCTTATATGTTTATTTTTGAGACAGTCTTACTAAGTCACTAAATTGTTTAGGCTGGGCTCAAATTTGTGATCCTCCTGCCTAAGCCTCCCAGAAAGCTGGGATTACAGGTGTGGACTATCATATCTAACCTCTTGTTTTCTTTCTTCCTTTCTTTCTTTCTTTCTTTCTTTCTTTCTTTCTTTCTTTCTTTCTTTCCTTTCCTTTTCTTTCTTTTCTTTCCTTTCTTTCTTTCTTCCTTTCCATCATGTCAAATGGGTGTGTGGGTGGCTGGAGCTTAAAGTTCCCAAAAGGAAAATTTTACATGAAAATATTCCATCTGTAGCAAGCCTTCATATTTCTAAGCAAACAAGAACAAACATTTTCAAAGAAAACAGTTCAGTAGGCCAAGAGCCTCCATTTCCACACTGAATTTCTCCTAGAAGCTAAAGGTCCTGTGGGGACAGGTAAGAGAGCCTGGGTAAAGAGGGAAGTGACACAGGGTGGGAATAAAAAGTCACGTCAGCAACTTCCTTGAATTTAGTTCCTTGATTCTTTCTGCCTGCCTCACCCTGCAGGAAAAATTTCCTTTGTGGGTCACAAGTACCAAGCTCCTTCCAGAAGGAAGGGTTTTGCTCTTAAGGAAGGAATGGACTCCGGGCTGAGCAATCCAAGGCCTTCCTCTGGGCTCTGGAAGTGCTGCTGGCTGGGCGCTGGAGGGGATGTGCACTGAAACTTCAAATGCTCCTGGAAATGATTAAGTGGTGACAAGTAGACCTGAGTCACAGAGATGGAGGCTTCCCTCATCCCGCTTTTACCAGATGTTCACTGACTTGCCTTGCGTGCAGCCGGAAGTCCCACTTAGCAGGAAAAGTCAGAGCTGTGAGCATTCTCCACCCATTCCCCTGACAAGAATACCCCAGGTTATTTTTGCATTTAAAAGGAGCTTTGCAGAAACTGAAACTGGTTATAATACCTGTGTTTTCCTCCTGCAGAAGTGGGACTCTTGATTTCATTCATTCATTTGCATTATAAAGAACTACTATTCTCCAGGCCTCCAGCCAAGAGCTGGAAACACAAAGCCTCAGACAGCCCCTTGGGTCGGTGCACAGAGACAGCACAGAGGCAGCAGGCTGGAGACAGAAGCACAGGCAGCCATGCAGGAGGGACTGTGCAGCGGGACCAAGGGTATGTAGCTGCAGTCCCCTCTCAGAGTCGCTCATCACAGGCCTCAGGAGACCAGTGGCACTCTTTGACAGGCAGCAGAAAACCATGCTGTGTTCACAGCAAAGCTCACTTCCAGCTGCACCAGCCATTAACCCAGCCATCCACAGCAGTTTGCATCATTCACATTTACCTCTGAGCGTGATCCTAGATTCCAGACCTGAGCCTGCCTGGGAGAAGCCTGCCGCTTGTTTTTGGATTCATGGCAGATGATGCTCATGCTTTAGTCACACTCAAATTGCCTGCAACTCTTGTTGATATCCATGTTCTCCTCTGATTGGTCTCTGATCTGAGATTCTGCATCTCTGATGTGTTCCCAAAGTGCTGTTGGCTTGGATCACACCAGAAGAACCAGGCCTTAGCACTCTTGCCTCCAGTTCTCAGGATCACTGCAAACCAAAACAAGCACTTCTACAGTTGCTCACGATGAGGATGCAGAGTGAATTCAAAGGCTCATGTTGTAATCCCAGTATTTAGAAAGCTGAGGCAGGAGGATTGTGCCCAGGGCCACACTAGGCTACATGGCTACATAGTGACTTCAGTGCTGGCCTGGATTACATAGCAAGACCCTGTCTCCAAAAGAACAAAGAAGAAACCTGCAACACCAGGCAACTTGGGTCTCTTGAAAAGGCAAGCTAAACCACACGAGGTGATTTCAGTACTCTGAGGGGCTGAAGCAGGAGGATCCCAAGTTTAAGCCTCGCAATTTAACACCCCCATGCCTGGTATTATTTTCGTATATTATGGACAAGAAAATTGAAGCATAGTAAGGTTAAGAGTGAGTGGTACTTACTTAGGCTGGCCTTGAAATCACTATGTAGCCCAGGTTGGCCTCAAACTCTCCGTGGTGCCCGAGGGCTGGCCTTGATTCACTGTTTTAAAAAACAATTTTTATTTTTTTAACTTTGCCAGCACTATAAGAAAAGACCAGAAGTGTATAAGGAAAAAAAGTACATAGTTTTTCAGTGCATTTGAGGGGTCATTTGAGAGTTTTTAATGAATAATACATAAATATAAATAAAAGTGTAATTTCCACCTATTTGGAAGATGAAAGAACGGAACATACTCCAGATGGCAAAAGAATGGAAAGAGCAACACAAAGAAATACTCTTCGGCAGTTATAGTTCGTACCTTTTCTAGTGGTTAGCTGGTAATATGGATAAATATGAAGGCTTCAGCACTAACGCATGCCTTTGGGCATTAAAATTCCATTTCTAGAATTTATATAAAGAAGGTAACAGGACAGGTGTACAGAGATATATGATGTACAGTTTACTTCTATGGGGTTTTTAATAGCCAAATAGAAACAAAACAAAACAAAAAAATCTAGAAAAATTTAAATGCCCATTGTAGACTAATCTCTACTGTCTAGGAGAGGTGTCTACAATATATTTTTTTGTGAATAAAAGAGTGAGTGGTACT